AGGGAAATGTAGTAGTGGGTGGGTGTGTCAGCTTAGAGTCAAGATTTCTATTATTGCCTTGCATAGAGACAGAAGAAAATGAAAAAGTAAGTTCCTCTCTGTACAGACGGAAACCTTGTTCTGGATAGCTCTTTATGTACAAGCTTATGTCTTTCTTTCCTATCCCTCAGATTTCCTCCGTTATTTTTACCAGAGTGAGGGAAAGGGACAATGGGAATGTGAAAATTTGCCAGGCACAACTCCGTCTCTGGTGACTGTCTGCCATCTCTTACTCTAAGCTGGAGTCACTGAGTGATGGAAAAGAGAGTCTTGCCCACAGATGTTAGTGGGGCTCACCGTTGTGTCAGAGTAGTCTGTCAGCACGGTTGCCACACCTGTAATACCCGTTTTCACCTTCATGTCTCTCAGACCTTTAACTCTCCCTTCACCCCTGCTCACTCCCAGCTGCGGACCTCACTTTCAGAGTGAAACCTTCAGCAGCTGTATTTACAGTGTCTGGGAAGGCAAAACAGAGCCTGGAAGGATTGTGTCTGTTCCTATCAGAAAATAACCAGTGAGTTTCCGTAGCTTCCTGGTTTCTCACAGGTGTGGCTCCTTCCCTGCAGTGTCACGCTCTTCTACTGAATGACGCTCAGCCTCAGCCTGCTTTTATGATCTCCTTTCTTAAAAAAGTCCTCTCTTAGTTTTCCACGTTCCCCTCCAGCTACTGTCTTATTTCTGTGCTCCTTTTATTGCCTTGTGTAGAGAGAGAGAAAAAATGGAAAAGAATGTTTCTGTCTATACATTTGGAATCAGGATCCTTAGAAGAGCTGCTTACATGCATTATCTTCATTTTCATACTGACATCCATTTGTTCATCAACCAAACCCCATCTACCTTTCAAACCCCTTTTTTCCTGAAACTTTCTGTCAGCCACCAATGACCTTCATCTTTCAGATTTTAGAGGATATTTTCTCTGTTTAATATCTTAACAGATTTTTTAACCCAATTACCTGTAATATAGTCTGTCATTCCTTTCTTGAAACACATTCCTTTCTGGGCCTCTGACTCCCCATTTGCCTGTTTACTCTTAGCAGTTTTGGCTGGTTGACCGTGTCTCCTGTTCTGTCCACTACTGTGTATTATACTGCACCCCTTAGCTGGCTCTCCTCTCTTCTCTGCAGACACTATCATTTCCCTGTAGCTACTAATATCTCCTCTGAATCGATGACTCCCGAAATATATCTACATTCTGATCTTTCATCTCGAGTTCCAGACACCTTTGTCCAACTGCTTTTTTGATATTTCTTTTTGATTATCTTTGAACATCTTAATATGTTCAAACTAAAGCTTATTTCAGCCTCCCACCCTTCCTGCCCCCTAGTCTGCTCCATCTTGCTCATTTTATGGCTTGGTAAATCATAATACTGCCCACCCATTCGCTTATTTTAATAACTCATGAGTTAGGTATTCTTAATTCCTCACTTTTCCTCATGTCCCATGCATAATTATCAGCAAGTCCTATTGATTCTGTATCTAATATACGTCATACTTCTTTCCAGTTCACCTGCCCCTGCATCTACCATACTCTTGTTCCCTTATAATTTATTCTCTATGCAGCAGCTAGAATGAGGAGTACTTTAAAATGTCAAATCAGAGTATATAATTTATTGTTTAAAATACTGAAGAGGTTACTAATTACATTTAGACATGTAACTACAGGGTCAGCTCCATAGCCTAGTAGTTTAGTGAGTGGAAACCCACATTACTGGTCACATTTTGAATCCCAGACCCCGTGGCATAAAATATATGCGCCCACAGAGAAATGGAGGAGAAGGGATTGCAGTATGATCATGCCCCACTTGAGGGTGTTTACCCTTTCCCTTTGCCCCTGTCTCTGCCTCTGTCTGCCAAATGTACACGCTTCCTAAAATGAAAGAGAGACAGACAGACAGACAGAAAGAAAATGGCAAAACAAAAAAAATTAAAACTGCTTCCTGTGAGCCCATAAGAACCTGAATGATCTGACCCTAGCTTGTCTCTCTAGCCATATCTCGCTCGTCCCGCGTTCTCAGTCCCTGCTAGTCATTATGCTCATATGTACCAGTTTCCCTTCAGGTCCTTTAATGCAGTCACATTCTTCTCTTCTACACCTCCCTCCTCTCTTGGTCCCTCCCTCAGTTCTTCCCTCCTTCCTTCTCTCCTTGCTCCGGGCCTGGGAAGCTCTTTCCACAGCTTATCACATGGCCAGCTCCGTTTTCTTTCTGCCCAACTACCAGCCACAACAAGGTTACCACCCTAGGTAGAGTCCTCCTCCCTTTCTACTCTCCCTAACATTGTATTTCCTTGAAATACGCTTGTAAAAATTTATAACTTTTCAATTTTGTTGTTTTGTTTTTGCCTTATTTCCCCCAGTAGAATACAGGTATGTGAAGACAGGGACATTTTCTCCTGATGTTTCTGAGTAGTAAGCGTCTTCCTTGAATGTCACCTTGTAAAGGTACAGTTAGAGTGTCACAAGAAATTCAGTTGTCTTTAGGCTGGCATAAGCTAGGTAGGGTCTATTTAGCTATATTGTCATCTTCGAAGTATAGTTTCAATCTTATTTTATCGATGTTTCCAAAAGGCTCCCAAAATTTGCTGCTACCCAGGAGGGACGCTGTGACTCGATAGATAGGTTCACTATTTACTGTTTTGAATCCATTGTTTTTGGCTATCCAGACCAGAGGAGACTGAGTTGATCATTTTTCTTACCTTGTTCTAAAAATATTTTAAGGTAGCTTACAGAAATAATTTCTAAAAATTATGCGGCTTTATACATATCCATGTACATATATATTGAGTCATCAGAAAAGTCACGACACATGACGTATTTTTGTTTTTCTGTGCAAAAATGCATCGTGACTTTACCAATGACCCAATATAAATGAGGAAGTCTTGACATATTTTTCTGTTTTTCTACTCAAAAATGCCTTGTGACTTTACCAGCAACCCGGTATAAATTGAGTAAATCAGAACAGAGCAGTAATGTGTGTAGAAAAAAATAAAATGAAGCCGCAAGTGCGGTGAATGTGAGAA